CCAATAATTTGTTAAGCAAAAGGAAATTGCTGTAAAGTCTGGAAATGATTGCTTTTGGTATTTTCCTTAAAAATATATTAAATCGAAATCACTGTTACTCAACAAAAATGGAAGTAGTTTAAATTTGATTAAAATTAAAGAGAATGGAGAATTTATTTAAGAATAAATTATCGATTTTGATGATAATTACATTCATGGAGCAATTTCAGATGATGGAGAGTATTTAATCACCTGGGATTGTAAAACCGAAGAAATTCAAGTTAGGCAATACAGCGAATGATGGTCAGCCATTCTGATATCATTCCGATATCTATAAATATTAATTATGTTATTGAATATGGACAATCTAGTAATAGAAATTAATATTTGATATCATTGATATTCATTAAATCTATTAGACATCTTATTTTCAGAAATATAATATGAATATAAGAGCTATATGATTATCAAAAAAAATAATTTCTTCTCTTCTCTTTCTCTCCTATCTTGCTTGATCCAAAATATATGTTTTAGATCTTCTGATAATTTCGATTTGAACTCTGCCTTCTTTGTAATTCATGTTACTTAGAAGGAACATAGACTATTTGCAAATTTCCATTAAAATCATAGATAATTATGAACTTCAAATGATTACATTGAGAATCAAAAATAAAATGAAAAGATTTGCAATTGTAAACAATCATTATCTTAATTCTAAAAATGCCGAATAGGATTTGAATACTACTTTTATTCCTATCTTCAATGAAACTTTTAGATTATAAGATTATTCATTTCTTACTTTCATCTTTGTATATGCGATAGAATTAATGTTGTATTATACATTTAAGCCAAATTAACTGCTAAAAATAATAGTTTGTCATTTTGTTTCAAGCCAAATATGCATAATATATATTAATGATGCGTTAATTGTAAATAGTTGTCTTAAAAATTAAACAATTTTAAAGTGATATCATATTATTTATATTATGCAATATTTAAATTTGTTCATACAACCAATATCAAACACAGTAGTATTTCCATACTCCAGTTTGTAACTCTATGATGTGGATTGCTATATTCAATTATTACATTCTCAATACATTGGATTGGTTTCATAAATCAATGGCAGCCAGCCTGATGTTCAAACTATCTCATAATATAGTTAATATGGCACACTTGTGCACGTAACAACAAAGCAAGATGAGTCATCCAATTTTTGCAATGCCTTTGCATTCGCCAGATTTCGAATAAATTCGTTTTGCCAGCTTTCACCATTCTTAATAGCAAACGTTGAAATACTGAATGATGAGATCAAAGNTTTCTCATTTCAAAGGAGTAAAGAGAAACTGTATTCAATGATTGCAGAGAGTGTAGGAAGTCTTTCTGAAACTATTACAAATGGTCGAAAAATTTTATGTTTAGAACCATAAATTCAATAATAAGTATTTAATAAAGAATTGAAGCCATTTAAATATGAATTAATCAATAAAATAAAAGATGAATACATATTTGCTTTTGCGTTTAATAAAGAAGCTACTCTCTTAGTGGCTGGCTACGAATCAAGCAAAATAAGAGTATTTGAGTTTGAGCAAGGATAATTACGATAATTATAGGAATTGAGCAATCATAGTAAAAGAGTTCGATGTGTATACTTTTTGTAAAAATCGCCTTCATTTATCTCTGGTAGCTATGATCGTTCGATTATTGTATGGGAGGCCTCAGAAAATAGATAGTTCTATTGTAAGTAACAACTTGAAGGTCATACTGACGATATTAATTGTTTGATAATTAATAATAATGAGGATTTGATAATATCAGGTAGTGATGACAAAACCATTAGACTATGGAGTAAAAATGTGTAGTGGCATTGTTCATAGACATTAACATATCATAATGGGAGTGTATTCTGTATCAGCATGAATGAAACTTAAAATTAATTCATTTCTTGTGCTGCAGACAATCTGATTGTTGTAAGTCAAAAAGATGTAAATAGTTCTTTCTGGAATATTCTTTAAACTATTAAAGTAGAATGGGGTTTAAGATTATGCTTTATTAGCAATACTTAATTTACATATCAACCTTATAATAAAAAGCAGATGATAATTTATGAACAAAGTAAATTCAGCCAATAATTTGTTAAGCAAAAGGAAATTGCTGTAAAGTCTGGAAATGATTGCTTTTGGTATTTTCCTTAAAAATATATTAAATCGAAATCACTGTTACTCAACAAAAATGGAAGTAGTTTAAATTTGATTAAAATTAAAGAGAATGGAGAATTTATTTAAGAATAAATTATCGATTTTGATGATAATTACATTCATGGAGCAATTTCAGATGATGGAGAGTATTTAATCACCTGGGATTGTAAAACCGAAGAAATTCAAGTTAGGCAATACAGCGAATGATGGTCAGCCATTCTGATATCATTCCGATATCTATAAATATTAATTATGTTATTGAATATGGACAATCTAGTAATAGAAATTAATATTTGATATCATTGATATTCATTAAATCTATTAGACATCTTATTTTCAGAAATATAATATGAATATAAGAGCTATATGATTATCAAAAAAAATAATTTCTTCTCTTCTCTTTCTCTCCTATCTTGCTTGATCCAAAATATATGTTTTAGATCTTCTGATAATTTCGATTTGAACTCTGCCTTCTTTGTAATTCATGTTACTTAGAAGGAACATAGACTATTTGCAAATTTCCATTAAAATCATAGATAATTATGAACTTCAAATGATTACATTGAGAATCAAAAATAAAATGAAAAGATTTGCAATTGTAAACAATCATTATCTTAATTCTAAAAATGCCGAATAGGATTTGAATACTACTTTTATTCCTATCTTCAATGAAACTTTTAGATTATAAGATTATTCATTTCTTACTTTCATCTTTGTATATGCGATAGAATTAATGTTGTATTATACATTTAAGCCAAATTAACTGCTAAAAATAATAGTTTGTCATTTTGTTTCAAGCCAAATATGCATAATATATATTAATGATGCGTTAATTGTAAATAGTTGTCTTAAAAATTAAACAATTTTAAAGTGATATCATATTATTTATATTATGCAATATTTAAATTTGTTCATACAACCAATATCAAACACAGTAGTATTTCCATACTCCAGTTTGTAACTCTATGATGTGGATTGCTATATTCAATTATTACATTCTCAATACATTGGATTGGTTTCATAAATCAATGGCAGCCAGCCTGATGTTCAAACTATCTCATAATATAGTTAATATGGCACACTTGTGCACGTAACAACAAAGCAAGATGAGTCATCCAATTTTTGCAATGCCTTTGCATTCGCCAGATTTCGAATAAATTCGTTTTGCCAGCTTTCACCATTCTTAATAGCAAACGTTGAAATACTGAATGATGAGATCAAAGCCAACGATACTGAAATCTTGAACACATTTAAAGAGGCGGTTAAAGTAAATTTGCACATATATTTTTAGATCTATATGGAAAACTTCTCCCTTTTACCTAATGCTCTGTTGAAGCAAAAGATAGACGAAGAAAACAACATCGTCAAATTATAATATCAAGTGGCTGACAGAATTTAAATTCCATTCAACCAAAAACTCAGATTGCTATAAATGAATGATAACATAGAAAGAATATCAACAATGATTTAATATTTGAATCACAAAATGACATAATATTCGACAAGCAACGAATTGGAATAAATATTTAAGCAGGAACTTATTTCTGAAATGCAAAACAATGGAGATAACTTGATTAATTAAACTGAATAAATTATTCCATAAATACAAGAATAAGAACTGGATTACTAATAACAATATGTTTAGTCATTGCCATGGGGAATCCAACATCCAGAAACTGTCAGTATATCTCAATGCAAATAAATATTGGATCAGAGACATTATGGATTGGACATGGCTAAACAGCGTATTCTATAATATTTAGCAATTAAATTTTTAACAAAATCTACTGGATCTATTCTCTGTTTACATGGTCATCCTGGAGTGGGAAAGACATCATTAGCTTAGAGCATAGCAGAGTCCTTGGGGAGACCTTTTCAAAAGATTTCATTAGGTGGAGTATCAGATGAAGCTTAAATAAGAGGTCATCGAAAGACTTATGTGGGAGCATAGGCAGGAATGATTATGGAAGCAATAAAGAAAGCCAAGTGTGTAAATCCAGTCATCTTACTTGATGAGATCGACAAGATTAATTAATACACTGTTGGTTCAGCCTTGTTAGAGGTCTTGGATCCAGAATAGAATAAATGTTTTATGGATAATTATGTGAATGAGGAATTCAATTTGAGTTAAGTTCTGTTCATTTCGACAGCCAATTACATAGGCTCCATATAGCCAGCATTGAGAGACAGATTGGAGATGATTGAGATCCCATCCTACACAATTGATGAGAAGGAGAAGATTGCAATCTAACATTTGATTCCTAAATAATTGGAGCTTAATGGGATTGATGGGAAAGTTGAATTCAGTAAGGATGTTGTAAGATATTTAATTACAAATTATACCAATGAGAGTGGAGTGAGATAATTAGAGAGATAAATAAATTCTATTTTACGAAAGATTGCACTTCAACAAGTAAGAGGGAACAGGAAAGGAACTTACAATATTAATAAGGGATTTGTCAACTAATGTTTGGGGGAATCCACAATTGGTTACAAGAACATCAGGTTATAGAGTGTTGGAATGTGCAAAGGGTTGAATGATGGAATGAACATTTTGGAAGTCATTAAAACGAAGGGATAAGGCAATCTATTTTAGTAATCTAAGGATCAATATATTGTTGAATAAGGAATTACTGCATAATCTTATTTAAGGAATTGTTTCAAACACATTTAATTCTAGAATTGGGACATTACTGTTGCTAACTAGAATTGTTTGGGTGTTTGTGTTGCTGTGGCTGTGGTGTCATTATTTATGAATAAGAAAGTGAAATCAAGTGTTGCATTTGCAGGAGAGTTAAGTCTCAAAGGATCTATTTTTAGACAATGCAATCTGAGAGATAGCATCATTTAGACAGCAGAATCTGGAGTTGATAGGTAATAGCATAATTTAATTGAGTAGCATCATTATTCCATCTTAGAATGTGGGGGACATTTACAACTTAGAACCTTCTATTAAATAGAGAATTAGATTAGTCGATCACATTGAGGAGGTTTTTCAATTGGCATTTGAGGATGGATTTACTTACTAACACTACCCTAATTTATGAAGTATATATATATATTAATAAATAAAAATCTTAATTTGAATATAGGATACATCACACAAAAACATCTCCTTAATAGACGACTAATTCTAGATTTATTCTCATTTTTTAGCATTTTTATGAGGCATTTTGAATTGTGTCCTTAATTTTCATAAACTATTTTTTTAAATCGTGTATGGGTGTAGTAAGTATTTCTACATTTAGTTTTTCAATTTGATTAAACAGTTTCATCAATGAGATAGCC